GTGTTCTGTCACTGATATCTGTCTGCTGCCCAGTGCTTGCTCGATTAGTTGTCGACCAAAGTAAACAGTATTATATATTGAGCACCGAACAACTGTTGTGAACTACGACAGTAATAGACAGTTACTGATAGAGTGTTCTGTACTTGTTCATTGTTTCTGTTTCTTTTTCCACAAATCTTGCCATAATTTGCTCAAGAACGAAGACTCTGTATGATTAAAGTATGTGCATTAAAAAATGTTCTTCCTCCACACTGACTGTGTTCAACCAAAAAACATTCCTTTAACGCTAATCAAGAATACAGTATTAGACACCCCTTGAGGCCTCGCGATCTCTGCCAAAAAAAAGAACACATGCAGCATAGCAAGAAAAGCAAAGACATACCGTGTTGTTTCCTGACAAAATGTGCTAAAAATTTAATGCGCATTCAGAACCAAAGTATTACTATACCACTTTTATCAAATAAATAAACAAACGCCTTTTCGACCATCATTTTGTCAGATTATAGATTTCTCAAAATTACTGTGATCACTTCGTAAACACAAACTATTCATAATGACGCTTTTACTTTTCTACTAATTATAAATCGTCTACTGAGGCACAGAGCACAAATAAACAATGAAATTTCAAAATTATGCAGAATAGAGGCGTCAATCTGCACTCATAAATGAATTTCACAGCTCTCTCCTATTACTTTTGAAAAGTATTTCAAAATTATAGCTTTAAAGCATCATTTCTCTACATCATTCTACAATCCAAACTAGTCGAAAAAGTATCTTGCGAAAGAAATTTTTAGAACAATTAACAAGTACCCGCATTAAAAGACCTTAAAAAATGGTGCTAAGTCAAAAATACATTTTAACTGACTGTAAAGGGTCTTGGCTTCAGCATCCTTTTGTAATCCCGCCTATTAATACTACCACGAGAAAACTTATGCCTTAGTCTCTTCCTCAAAGGCCTGCCAACCTGAAAATATACTTTATCAGTTGTCGCATGAACAACCTCCAAAACTCCAATCACCACCAACGAATTAGAAACGTCAAAATCAAATTTACCACAGGAAGCACTTCTTTCCAATAACGCTGCGCAACTTCTGTTACGTCTAGTGGGTCACTGCCATCATAGGGCGCCAAAGATAAATCTGTTCTACAAAACAAAATAACTGTATTAATACGTATCTACACATATACGCATATGAAGTAATAAATCTCCTCAGCAAAAAACATCTTACTGTGACTGGCATTTCGTCTTAAGAAGGTAGTTGGGAGATTGAAAATCTGCCAAACGAATAGCAAAAGCTTGAGATCCAAATGGGAATTTAAACTCTGACGTTAATTTCCAATGATTTAACAGTGCACATCGAGCAGCCATATCGACTGCAACGGGAAGTGTTTCACCGGCACCTGAAATCTCCAATACCCCCGAAATAAATAAGTAATAAATAGATGAATGTGAACAAAATAGCAATATTTCTAAAAGCCAGCAAGCGCACATACCGCAACTGAAAACAGTTGAACAAATAATATCTCTTCTTTACAAGAATTCTTTTAAAAAAGCTTCAAAAATATTGAAAGTTGTTTTTCAAAGATCTTGGAAATGTAAACGACTACGATTCATTAAAAAAACAAGAGCATTTTCAGTTACTTTTCCCAACAAGAATGCCATCCGCAAAGATTCCAACCAAAAAAATTGGTTCAGCAGAGTACTCGCCAGCAGAGTGCATCAAACGAGGACCAACTGCCTTTGCTCCATTTCCACGAAGAATGTCTGTGATAACTGCTAAAGGATCCCTCAACGGGTAGACCTCAATTAGGTCAATGTCCAGTAAATGAGGTACAACAGTATTGATTACCAATATTTCTGCCCTTGAAAGAAAAAACTTTTTACTAAAACTTCAAGACCAAATCACGATGAAATGCCTATGGTGAAATAAAGCTACAGTATGGCCCGCACTGCATAATTGGGATAAAGTGAAATAAACAACGACGGAGCGATTATTAGAACATTAAAATGCATGAAAAAATAAAACTTAAACTAAGTTTCATACTGATTCTAATTCTCTAATTAATACAAAAAAGACCTTAACCTCCTCAGATAAAACAGTACCGATTTCTATCCATTACTGCTAGAAGAGCTTTGAAACAATTGGATAACGAGATTTCACTTGGAGGAAATTCTGAAGTGCGCACAATATGTTTAAAGCCAAGATTCTCAGCAGTTTTCGCAAGAATTTCCACAGACATCAGTCGTTCTGATACTGCCTGAATTAACTCTTCCGGTGCTGAGGGCATAGAAGAACGAAGATATCCAAGGACCACATAGAACAGGATATCACTGCCTAAATCTGTTTCATAAAGCAAAAAAAAATTAAAGTTTCAGCATACCTTTGTTGATCAGTTCACTGTTATCTCCTTCCTGTTCTGTGACACTCTGCTTACTAGGCTGCGACTCGATAGTTCCTTCCTTGATATCAGATCGAGTATAAAAGGAAGGTTCAGTAAGAGCTTGAATTATAGTTGTGGGAAAAGTATCTGTTGCTCCGACGCGATGTGAAAATGCAAATATCTCGGAATCGTAATCCCTGAGTTTGAAAAATAAAAAAATAATGAGGAGTGAAGAAAACAGATTGCTTAGGAAATTTATTGACTTTTCTCTAATAACCACAATTGCAAAAAATTTCTCCTAAAAGTGTTACTTCCACTGTAAGCTTAACTCTTCGAAAAAAAACAACAGAAAGACCTTCTTCTTATTTTACCATGCAAAACGACGAAAAAACAAATGCCTCAACTTCAAATTAGCGTTTAAAACCCACTTTGAGCCATGCAATTTTTTTGAATGAAAAAACCAAAGTGACTTCCAAAACCGAGTGTACCTCTTATTCGGTGCTATTTAAAATAATTATT